ATATGACATTTATCAATATTTAGTGGAATTTTGTGGTTGAAATACCATTATTGGATTATATTCAAGTTATTCTAGAATTCTGATACAATGATTTATGGACTCTTTTCCCCAATAAAGTTTTATATTATCTGCAAATAGCAAACAGACAGTAAACTCCCCTCTTTTGTGGACCACAACCCCACTGCTCTAAAAGTACAGTAAAGGGACGAGTGATCTATGCACAATAGCAAGCCTCTAGTCCACCAACAAGCCCAGCTTAACCCTAAAGGACACGAGAAGTTGCTGATATTTAAACGGATTTCAGTCCATTCAATACAGCACATTGTTTTCTTTCATACAGATAAGAGTTGAAAAATTAAATAAGGTTGATGATATACAGGGATGGCTAGAAGTACGGAATAAAATTAATATCTTTTGAATGAGTTAATTTTTTTTAAAACGCCGAAACACGTTAACTGATTTTGATTTTTTCCCATCTTTCGGTTATATAATAATTAATTTTTCCTCAACCCCCTAACCCCCAGCTACCCCTACTTTTTTTTTCAAATGGAAACATAAGGCATGAGGGGGCTCGTTGAAAAGCTTATAGAAAACCGAATCCAGCCATACCAAATAAACAAGTTTTATTTTTTCAATAGCAAGGTTTTTAGGGTTGTATAAAACACCTACTTAACAAGTGAAATAAAATTTAATTATCTTCAGTGTTATCCTCCATGAATTTGCACAGAATAAAATAAAGAATTTGAAACTGTACCTATCACTGCTAACGCAAAAAAGATATATTTTTTATGTTGCGTTTTTTTGGCACCACTTACTTGCCAGGCTTTCTGGTTAATTTTTCGCTTTAGTTGTAAATTGGAGTTCGAAACGTTACTATTGTGTCAAAATCAAGTTATTTACTGAATTGCAATGGTATTGTCGGAAAGGCAACGCATCGAAATCTTGATATTGCTTGGATGTGGAGACAAAATAAGAAGTCAGGCTGAAGTGCGCGATTTATTTAATGCGAAATATCCCGAAAACCAAATCTCGCAAGGGACAGTTAGTAAAATATTTCACAAATTTGAGGAACACGGTACAGTACAGACTTTGCCCAAAACTGGACGGGCACGTGCTTTGAATGAAGAAAAGAAATTAGACATTGCATTAGAACTTGTTGAAAATCCTCATACTTCAACTGTTTCATTGGCCCGCAATCACGATGCTTCTCGAACTGCAATTCGAATGTTTCTGAAACAAGAGAAATACCACCCCTATAAGGTATGTCTTGTCCAAGAGCTTTTGGAAGACGATTATGATAGGCGATTACAATTTTGTGAGGAAATGATGAGACGGTGTGACGACAATAATGGTTTTCAACGAGACGTACTTTTTTCGGATGAAGCTACGTTTTATTTAAATGGAGTGGTTAACAGGCACAACTATCGCTTTTGGTCCCAGGAAAATCCACACTGGACATGCGAATCGCATACGCAGCATCCACAAAAAGTTAATGTATGGGCAGGTATCATCAACAACAGAATCTTGGGCCCATTCTTTTTTGAAGAAAATCTTACTGCCGCACGCTACCTGGATTTCCTAACATTTGACCTGATACCTGCTCTAGCTGTGATTTTCCCTCATGAAATTGATCCAGATATACCGAATGAAAGAATTTGGTTCCAACAAGATGGCGCTCCCCCACATTTTGGTATTGATGTTCGAAGATACTTAGATGAAATGTTTCCAAATCGCTGGATTGGTAGACGGGGTACAGTTGAATGGCCGCCAAGATACCCCGACTTAACGCCCCTGGATTATTTTCTTTTGGGAAATTTGAAAGAAAGAGTCTACCTGGACAGACCGGATAATATTGAGAATTTAAAGAACAAGATTAGGGCGGAGATGCATAATTTACCAGCTCTTAGAAAACGCCAAATAATGAATGGAGGACATTTTCAGCATTTGCAACATTGAGTTTATTTTTGTAAATTAAATTAACTCATTCAAAAGATATGAATTTTATTCCGTACTTCTGGCCATCCCTGTACAATTGCTTTAGATTGTTAATGAGCATACCCCATAATGAGCATTGTTAATGAGCATACCCCATACCGTGGTTTCCTATCAAACGCCTTTGAAAAATCGTTATAGGCGATATCAATCTGTACAGGGTGATTCACTATATTTTGCCCCCCCCTTAACATTTTTGTTTTAAGAGTTATAAAAAATGTGAATACAAAAGTTGCACGATATTTTATGAAGTTTTCGAAAATGATAGTAGAAAAACAATTGAAGTCCAAACAAAATGGCCGCGGACTTTGTTAATTTAAATGAAACTCGCTGTATATTTTTACATATTTGGATAGAACGTTCCCTGTCTAGTATAGTCATATAGGGTTTGTTGGGTCCACCTCTAACAATAAGCGAGATAATATTAAAAAACGAAAAGGTTTTATATTAAGAAAATAAGAAATTTTGTAATAATTGTTTTATACCTCTTCCAGACATTTTTGCTTTTTCCAATTACGTAAGGATTAACAGATTTAGTAAGTTGTAATATTTTGACATATCGGACACTGATATGGTCCAAAATACGTATAAATCGCACTAATTAGATCGTGTGAGGCCAATTACTCAAGGACAATGTTATATAGTAGGTCGTGACAGTGACAGGTAGTAATGTCATGTTAACATTGTTATTGATTCACAGTTTGTATTAGTATTTAATTAAAATGGGTTACACAGAAGTAGAAAATTGATATTATTAGTAGGAATTAAAATAGATTATGGAAAATAACTTACTCTATTTTAATTCCTATAATATTTCAATTTTGTATTTCTGTGTATATAAACTGTCAAACAATAACTATGTTGTCATAACCTGTCACCGTCACGGTCTACCATATAATATTGTCCATGAGTAAATAGGCCTCTTACGGACTAATTAGTGAGATATAGGTTAAAACACCTATACGCATTTTGGACTATATCAATGTCCAATATGTCAAAATATATTACAACTAAATCTAAATCCTTACGTAATTGGAAAAAAGGGCAGAAATGCCTGAAAGGGTCAGTCACAAAATGTCTTTTTTTCTTAATAAAAAACCTTCTTTTCGTTTTTTAATATTATCTCACTTATCGTTAGAAGTGGATCCAATATGACCATGCTCGACAGGGAACGTTTTATCCAAATATGTAAAAATATACAGTGTTCCATTTAAATTAACAAAGTTAACATCCGTGGCCATTTTGTTTGGACCATTTGTTTTTGAAAATTTTGTATTTCACATTTTTTTATAACTCTTAAAACAAAAAAGTTAATGGGGGGTCAAAATATAGTGAATCACCCTGTACGTTAGCATATATAAAGTGTGAAATAAACTGTGATACAATAAAGACTGGTAACCGTAGAATGGCCGTGAACAAATTCATGTTGACAAGGTACAATTTGACCTTATATATTCATTAATGGCCGTTTCAAGTGCCTTAAAAAATTAACAATTAAAGTAATAGGACGATAGTTTTCGATTTTATTTCTGTCTCCTTTCATAAATAGGTATAGGGCAAATATGAGACGTCTTCCAAAAAATACACCGGATCGTTACCTAATATTATGGTTTCCTAGCATAGGCGATGTTTTACGTATAGAATTAATATGCTTCAAAAATAAATTAGGATTTGATTTTACATTCTTTCAAAAAAGTATCTGTAATTTGCAAAGATCTAATACAGTATACTAAAATAATAAATAAAAAGTATTTATTTCCTTATTTATTAACATTAATACCTATCTATTAATATTTACAAATTATTTCTTGAATAATTGTCCTTATCTGTTTGAATATTTTAGTACTGCCTTCTATTTATTTCATATTTAAAAAACATTTCATGTACAAATATTGTTATATAAAGTATAAAATTTTAATATAGCTTATTATTGTCTTTAAAAATAAATATTTTCATATTTTTAACTTATAGTTGTTATGTTAGATACTTCCAAAAAAAGACGATTTCCTAATAAGAAATGGAGTTCCTTTTCAAATCAATGTAGTGCGATTTGCATTCTAGGTCACGTGACTTAGGGCAAATGGCTGCCTCTTTTACTTTGCTGTTCATGTTGGAACAGATACAATGCGCAAAAAGTCGGCTTTAACTCCATCCATATACTATTGTGTCTATGGTAGTTTGTCATTAAAAAATTATTGAAATTTGAGTGCGATTTGTCAAGTAGTTTATTTACAGCTGTTAATTTTGTCCACCTAAAACGTGTTCCGCGATTTTTACTATGGATTACCAGATTTATGGAAGGACAATTCTTCGATTTTGCACCACGATAATGCACCATCACACAAAGCATAACTGTGATTGATTTTTTGACCAAACACTCAATGAATGTCATCGAGTAGCCACCGTATTCGCTGGATATGGCCCCTGCTGACTTTTCCTCTTTCCAAAACTCAAATTACCACTTCGTGGAACACTTTCCGAGACGACAGAAGCCATAAAACAAAAGTCGCTGAAGGAGTTTCTGTCCTTCTGTCCGAAATATAAGTTGACAAAGTGCTTTGATGACTGAGTAATTCGTTGGAAAAAGTGTACTGCCTCAAATCTACCCTATTTGGAAGCAGACAAAATAAATTTTGATAATTAATTGAATATATTATGTTTTATTGATAAATTCCGGATATTTTTTTGGCAGAATAGGTATACATTATTCTGAATGTGATCCAAATAATTTTTAAAAGAAATAGCAATACCGTTTAAGCAGCTTGATTTAATATTAATGACTTTTGTCACTTGCCGTACTGGCCATTGACATATTTGAAACGAGGACTGGATGATGTTGAGCATCTTCATTGATAAGTGGGCCAAGCGATTTATCAACTACCAATCATTGTCACTAAAAACGAGATCAGGAACACGATTATTTTTATTTAAAATAGTGCATTTATTGACCATTTGCAAAAATATAATAAATATCGATAACATACGAGTATATAGTATATCTAGTAAGTAATTTACTTAAAATATTTCTTTACGGGAGCGCTGGTGCCCTGAGACTGGGGATGTGCTGCGATGTATGCTAGAGATCTCAGTATGGCTTCAGGGACTGGTGGAGAGGTAGGCAACACATTGCCAGCAGGTTGGAATCCATTTTGATCAGCCACGTAAGATATCTGGACTGGAGTACCATCTGGAGCGGTGTACTGATAAGATCCGGTGGCAGCGATAGCTGCATCAGGACCAGAACCTGACAAGCTACCAGATTCTTGGGCGGATATACCATTTTCTGTGTCATATCTATTAATAAACAATGAAAGTAAATACTCTAGTTTATTTTGTTGTCGTAAATTGAAATAAACCACTGAAACTCGTTCTTCAGTACTTCGAGTGCCAGTAGTTTTCAGTTCTATGAAGCACAAATGAATACTTACGCATACTGATAACTACCATCTGGGGAAATGTCACTCTCTTGACGAAGAATTGCGATGACTTTTCCTGGCTGGGCAGCGTAGACATTATATGATGGTACTGGGGACAATACTGGTGGCTTGGTTGGGTATCGGAGTAGCGCTAAAGGTGACACAGCTGAAGCTACTGCTATCATTAAAGCATAAATCAGCACCTGTAAAAATTATAAATATTAATTTTATTTTATAGAACGTTTACCTCATTTTTTACTGTTTTGTTTAATTATTTCAATCAATGTATAGATCGGTAACCCAATTACTTATGGATTACTATCACTGTTATATATTGTCACTGTGATTAGTTCAATCCGGAAATATTGTAAGATATCGGTGGATGTTGAACTCTCCCTAATTAATGAGATTTATAGGTTTCCCTTATTTTTGCACTGACTAATAGTTGACGTGTATGAGTCGTCCTTGCTCTCAAATGCGACATGGTGCCAACTCCTTCCTCCGCAACTCTCTTCTATGATAATCATTAGGATTAAAGTGAAGGGTAGAGATGTTGTTAAAGATATAATTGACTATTATGCTACAATGTACTTATTCTATTTTTAATTGTGTCTTACCAATTTCATCATTTTGTCTGATTTGAATGAAAACCTTATTCAAACTAAAGCTTTTACTCAATTTGGCGCATTTATATCAAAAGTTCAAGTAAAAAAAAATTTTTACTTTTGTGAACATCATGTATCGAGAAGGTTAAGGATGCATACTGACATTAAAAGGAATTTTATTAATTATATTAAAGGCAAGTAACAGATTTCATAACGTTGGAATCTTTTACATTCTACAACCGAAAAAGTTAAAAATATTTATTTCATTGCTTTTCTAATATCATTGGAAATGTCGGTTTAGCAGTTTTATGTAGATAACTAATTCTTTGTAAATAGATTACGGCTATTTTTAAAGTTTCGTAAATAGAACATTGTAAATTAGAAAATATATAGACTATGAATTTTGCTAACTGAAAAGTTAGGGAGAATTAAATTTATAACAAAATACATTAATTACGAATAAAACATGAATAGAAAGTGAGGGAGACTATAACTTAAATGTAATGGAAATTATATGCTGGATGGTTCGTCACTAAGTTTTTTAACTTTGATTTCCATGTAACTTATAGCCTTGCTAAGATTTTATCGGTTACATCTTTTTAAAGTATGAAGGTTTCTGAATATAACATACATATACAGGGTGTATTTAAATGGAGGGGCACAAATGATACCAGAGATTCGTTGAAAATAAGTCGATTTAACCTAACATACCTATATCCCAAGACGCATAATAAAAAAGATACAGGGTGTCAAAGTGAAAAATAAAAAATGGTTTTTCCTTAATAATTTCCATAATTTTAGTCAGAAGTGTTTCAAATTTTCAACAGAGAGGTTTTTTAATGATGGGAAAAATAATATAATAATGTTTTTTGAGTGTCGAGTACGAGGCGCCCTCTGCAGGCAACGTTATGCATTGAATATGTAGTAACATTTTTGCCAACCACCGTATACAGCTTTTAGTAACAAAATATGAAATATTGGGCTTTTTTGAACAAAAAAGGTATACTTATTGAAAATGACTAATTGCACATATTATTAAAAATGTTTTCGATATTTTATCTTTGATAGTGTCTGATGTAGCAATGCTGCCTCGTTTAATTTAAAATACTTTGTGAAGGGTGTCCCAAAAGTAACGCGGGATTTGAATTGTACGCCATTTTGATTCGGCAGTATTGGCGGCATTGTGCAGGGTCCAATGTTGCGCACGCCCGCGGTAAGACAAAATGGCGCGCTATAGGACGGAGCAAGTGAAAATTGTGAAAATTCATTACAAGTACGCAGAGTGTGTAGCTGAGACTGTACGCAAACTACGTGGGATTTTCGGTAGAAGGAAAGCATGAAACAACTATGAAAAGATTAGTTAGCAAATTTGAGCAAGCAGGTTCGATTGCGGACAATAAAAAAAGGCCGGCCGTATTGGCCGTTGAACAGAAAATATTACTAGTGATAGTGTGTCGTAGTCTCAGTGCGCCGTCGGGTACGATAATGAAACATTTTAAAAAGCACAATGAAGCGAATTTTAACAAATCTGCATTTTCATCCATTCAAAATTCAACTAACCCAGGAATTGAAACCAGACGACCATTTAATGCGCCGGACATTCGTTGATTGAATGTTGGAGAATCAACAATGGACGTTGATTTTGCTAAGAAATGTATCTTTAGCGACGATGCTTTCTTAATGGGTACGTGAACAAGCAAAACTGTGGAATTTGGGGTAGTTACAATCCTCGAGTCATTCAAGAACGACCGCTGTATGGGACACACTTTTTATTTCATTTTTTTTGTTCACGTAAGTTAATAATTTGTTTTATATGTAGGAATCATAAGCAAAATAAATGTAAATAAAGGAGAGATGTTTGATAAACATAGATTGTTGAAAATACTAAGTTATTTCCTATTTATTCAACTGAGTAGTGACTACATTATTTCAAAAACAGTAATAATACCAAAAGTCATTTTTTTAAATACAATTACGAATTTAAATGAGTTTAAATAATTTTAGTTATTAAAGTATATTTGACCCAATTATCATACTTTTCCTTCAATAAAATTCGCCCTGTATAGAATACAAAGTAAGTAAAGGAACATTAATAAAATTATATTGAGCAACTATTAAATCAAATTTTTATTTAATCATATTATACAGCTAAGCAAAATATATGTGTTAATAATTAATTTAGATTTAGATGCGTCATATTCTAACATCTTTAAAATATATTATTTCATCTTATTCGTAAATACCTTCTTACCGACATACTGTTTTTATCCTCTATGATTATCGTTAAATTGATGGTCCAACCTTTTAATTAATTAATCAATTAAGTTTTTCAGAGTTGAAGTCATTTGTTTTTAAAGGCAGAATGTTATAATGTATTAGTAGAGCCTCACTTGAAATTATGTGTGTATATTAACATTGTCAATGGTTACAAACAAATTGGTGTCAAATGATGTCTACATTTTTCACCTTCCGGCGAATGCATTATGAAATCTCTTATAGCAACAAAGTGTGAAATACAAAACTAGTTTATTTTCCTTTAATAAATTACCTTAACCTTCTCAATAGATGATACTAAAAGATGTACCAATTTCTTTAACACAAGCGTTTTATATAAATACACTAGTGACAGAAAACTTCAGTCTAGGTCAGGTGCTCATCTAAATCAGACAATATGACGAAATTGGTAAGACATACTTTATTATGCGATTTTCCTAATTAAACAATTAACATATATCTAATCAAAAGCAGAATTTAAATAATAATGATAATATAATATTTTGTTTCGATTCATTATTTTAGTAATAACAACTTCATTTTTCGATTTCAGGTTTTGATTTTTGCTTCAATAATCGCAGCAGCTTCAGCAGCGTTGCCACTACCACCACGTCAATACCCAACCAGGCTACCAGTATTGCCCTCTCCAGTACCATCGTATAACACTTACCCTGTCCAATCAGGAAAGGTCATCGCAATTCTTCGTCTAGAGAGTGATATTGCTCCCGATGGTAGCAGTTATCAGTATGCGTAAGTACCGGAATTTAGATCAATCAAATGGACGCAGATGTTTATTGTTATTGTTTATTCATAGATACGATACGGAAAATGGAATTTCTGCTCAAGAATCTGGTAGCTTGGTAGCTGCTGGCCCTGAACCAGCTCTTGCTGCAAGCGGATCCTTCCAATACACCTCTCCAGAAGGTGTTCCAGTTCAGATTTCTTACATAGCTGATGAAAATGGATTCCAGCCTTCTGGCAATGTGTTGCCTACCCCACCACCAATTCCGCTAGCCATACAGAGATCTCTAGAATATAACGCAGCACACCCTGAACCTCAGGGTACTAGCGCTCCATTCAGAAAGTATTATAAGTAAATATTACTAGATTGTTATGTGACTCTGTGTGTATGTTGTGAATGTTTGTTATGGTAAATAAACTTTTAAATAAATCATTTACTTTTCTTTTAATGATTAACGGTCGATAGCCGCACGGTTTAAGGCGTCAGTACTTAAATCGATGTGTCGATCTGCCCGGGTTTCAAATCCCGCGGCCGGTAGACCGTAGATTAGCTATGCTTGTACGGAGGATTGGCATCCTCTGTGCAGGTATGGTAGGGTGGAAGAATGTTGGCTTGGGTCAATGTGAGAGATTGACACCGGTTGGCATTTGACCACCCCCCTAATTAATGAGGTTTTCCAGGTTTCCCTCATTCCTGCACTGAATGGTGGTTAGGGCCTACCAACATAAGTCGT